GTAAAAATGTCACTGATTAATACTTACCTTGAAAATGGCTTGCTTTTCTTACTATTGCCAAGAATGGTAGTTCCTGCTGGCCCTAGTTTGGCACTCTCTCGTAACCAGTTGGCAGGTGGGAGTTTCAAGTCTGTCTTCTCTTCAAGGCGTGCAAATGCTGTTCGAGGAGGCGCAGAGGAGTACTTCACCACAGCTCGGCTCTTCACTTCATTGCCTCCAAGAAACAAAGCTGATCCCTAATTAACACATTGAACAAAACTTGAATAACACTCCTAGAAATTAAAAATCCCAAGTTGGTTTTTTTTTTTTTTTTAGACAACAACAACAAACCCACCACCTCAGGCTTCACATGAATACATGCTACAGTTTCTAATAGCAATAAAAACGCAAGCATACACTGTCACGTTTACTCAGCTCTTTTTCATGTCATTTCAAAGAAAAACATGGGTCCAGAAGTATAATGTTTACAGTCATCGCCTGAGACAGTGGTCAAGTCAATAGAATCACGTTAACGAAAGGCAAAACTTGATAAAACCTCTGCTCCTTAGTAAAGATGGATTATTTTAATTTCAGTAGCCTATCATTTAGAAAGCTGCTTTCTTTTATTTTTTTCTATGAGACTTTGGGCAGCCCTGTTGGCCCAGCGGTTTTAGCTCCTGCCCTCGGCCCAGGGCGTGATCCTGGAGACCTGGGATCGAGTCCTGCGTCGGGTTCCCTGCGAATAAAACCTTTTAAAGGTTTTATTTATTTATTCATGAGACACAAAGAGAGAGAGAGAGGCAGAGACACAGGCAGAGGGAGAAGCAGACTCCCTGCAAGGAGCCCAACGTGGGACTTATCCAGGGACTCCAGGATCACACCCTGGGCTGAAGGCGGCGCTAAAACCGCTGCCCCATCCAGGGATCCCCTTTTCTTTTCTTTGTTTTTCTTTCCTTCCTTCCGTCCATCCATCCATCCATTTATTCAAATTAAGCTTTACACCCAACGTGGGGCTTGAATTCCACCAAGAGATCAAGAGTCGCAGGTCCCACCAACTCAGCCAGCCAGGCGCCCCCAGGGCTTTCTCGGGCTCCAGTTTAGTGACGAATTCGTCAGTTCATCACTCTGAGCCTTGGCTTCACAGGAAGGCACGGGGGGGGGGGGGTCCCCTCACACTCTTCACCTGCACCCCTGCAGGTAAGCTCAGTGCCCCAGTTCACTACCCTAACCTCTCGGGCCGTCCCTGTTCGCCCGGCAGACACTTGGAACCCTTTACCACCAGCCCACCTCGGTGAGCTCCCTGGCGACACCTGCTCTTCTCCCTCCAGCTTTGCACGACTTTGCCACATGTTTTTTAAAAAAGAATTTTATTTATTTATTCATGAGAGAGACAGAGAGGGAGAGAGAGAGAGAGAGAGAGAGGCAGAGACACAGGCAGAGGGAGAGGCAGCCTCCCTGCAGGGAGCCCGGTGCAGGACTCGAACCCAGGACCCGGGGTCACGCCCTGGGCCGAAGGGAGATGCCCAACCACCGAGCCACCGGGCGTCCCACTTTGCCACCTTCTGGAACCGCGTGCTCCCACGAACGCTCCTTGGGAGCCGACACCGGGTCCAAGTCGCCTGTGGGTCATGACCGAGCGGGAAGCCACAACAGCTTCTCCTAGGAGTGACCTGGACGCGAACGCCGGACAGACACCCACGGGCCCCCTCCCTCCGTCTGGGAGGCCGCCCGGGGGGCGCGGGGGGGGGGGGCAGCAGCAGCCTCCGGGCACCGGGACGCCCTCCCCCGCGGGCCCGGCCCGCAGCCCCCGGAGCCCCGCAGGTCCCGCCCCGGGACGGACTCACCTGTGCAGAGGGCTCCTCGGATTCTCCCTGGGTCAGGAGGCCGAGCCCTCCCCGAGCCGCGGCCCCCGCCGGCGGACACTCGGCCCCGGCCTCCTTGGAGTCCCCCATCACCTCGGTCCAGGGTTAGGCGGGGCGAAACGGGCCCCGAGGAGCCGCGACACACACCGGGCCCGGCAGCGCAGCGGCGCAGCGCAGCGCAGCGGCCGCCAGAGACTCCCCACACACACGGCGCTTCCGGCCTCGGACCGGAAGGAGTCGCGGTGACGCGGCCAAATCTCGCGATCTTTGTGCCAGCGGTCCGGCCCCGCCTTCCCCAGCGGAAGCCACCTTCGCGGCGGGGGTGGGGGGGGTTGGGGAGGGGCAGGAGCTGTAATGCGCCTGCGCCCGCCGGAGCCTCTTCAGGGGGCCACTTCTCGCGGGATCTGATTTCCAGGCTCCACCCCTTCACGCCTTTGACGTTTGTTGGCAAACAGTTCCGGCGGCTGGGGGCTCCGGGGGTCGGCGGGGTGGTCGCCGCGTGGGCGGGGGGGTGCGGGGGCCCGAGGAACCCGCGCGCGGTTGCAGTTTATGTGAGCAGCGAGGTGTTGGCGCTCCTGGCTGCCCGGCCTGCGGTGGCCTGCGGTGGCCTCCCCGGCTGGCGGACGGGCCCGCGGCCCCAGGACGGCAGAGATGGGGCGGCCAGGTGAGGGCTCGGCGCAGCTCCCCCGCATCACAGTGCGGCTGTGGGCCCGCGGCCCCGAGGGGAGGGGCGGCGGGGAGCGGCGCGGCCCCGAGGGGAGGGGCGGCTGTGGCCCCGGGGCTCCAGCTGGAGCCGCCCCTCCCCCCCCCCCCCCCCCGCCTTCCCCGGAGGGACGCGCTTCCGAGGCGGTCGCACCTCCGCAGGGTTTTTGCAAGATGCCGCGTTGGCCTGGTGACGGCGGAGCATCTGCGGAAAGCCCGCTGCTTGTCGGGTCCCCGGGCGCTGTCGGAGGGCTTTCCGGGGGTCCTGGGGCTCCCCCAGCCTCCAGGTGCAGGGGTAGTTCCGTGCGGATCCTGAGTGCGTAGGTCGGGGGTGGGCCCGAGAGCTGCGCGACCTGCAGACTCCAGGAGACGATGCCGGTGCTCGGAGCAGCGGGGGAGGCCGGGGACCGCCCCCCGCCCCCCGCCGCCGCCCAGCGCCCTGGGAAAGCTCGGGAGCCGGACTCCGCATCTGACGTCGCAGCACGCGAACTTCACCGCAAGACCCGGCCCGCGTGAAAATGCGTGTTGTTTTGCGGTGACACGTTGGGAAGGTTTTTGAAGACTTGACTTTGCCTCGCAGGATTGGGCTGCCTCGACTTGTAACTTAGGTTTGGCTCTGCTACCTCGATGTGTACGTCCTCACCCGTCCTCGGGACATCCTTGGGGCCGAGGAAGCTCCATTTGCAAGTTGCTTTCAAATGTAACGAAATATTCTTATGAATTCTGTTTAGCAATGGATTATACATAATGGTGCATTTCGTAGACACTTCCAACATGTATCGATTTTGATGGTTACTGGTTTTTTTGTGTATTTTGTACTCTTTCTTTTGGCAGGGTAATACGTTATTTATTGTACTAAAAACTTGAACAGAATTTATAATATCAGGCATTAGAAAGATGGCTAAGTCCTTTTTTTTTTTTTAAGATTTAATTTATTCATTCATGAGAGGCAGAGGCAGAGGGAGAAGCAGGCTCCATGCAGGGAGCCCCATGCGGGACTCGATCCTGGGTCTCCTGGGTCACGCCCTGGGCTGAAGGCAGGCGCTAAACCGCTAAGCCACCCGGGCTGCCCTGGCTAAGTCTTTTTTGGTATATAATACCCTTAACCTGGGAAATTATTACCTTCATTTTCAGGAATGTTGAAGAACATTTCAGTTCATACGATGTTAAAATTTTAAAAAGCAAATATGCATCATCATCCTAATTTCTAAAACATGCTTTTTCGTGTGTGTGTCCATAAAAACATCTCTGAGTGGTAAATAAAATGACTTAAAATTTATTCTTAACGTTTTATTTCCCAATTTTTCTTTTTGATTGTTCGTTGTTTTATCAAAAACATGATTTTTATTAAACTTTTAAACTTACGGTTTAGCTTCTAGTAATCTTTAAATGCTGTTGTTTATTGGTAAGAAGGGATGTTCTGAGGTATCAGTAATTTTTTTTTTCAGGACTCAAATATATTGCAAGCCTCTTGAGAGGTAGGTTCCTGAGCCCTAGGTAATGTTGCTTAGTGGGAAAATATTCTGGAAATGGCAGGGAGCAAGGGCCTGGGTGGCTCAGTCATTTAAGGGTCTAGCTCTTGATTTTGGCTCAGTTTGATCTTAGGGTGGTGAGATCAAGCCCCACATAGGGCTCATTCACCATGGAGTCTGCTTAAGATTCTCTCTCCCTCTCTCTGCCCCTCCCCCTGCTCACATTTTCTCTCTCTCTTTCTGTTAAATAAATAAATATTCTAAAAAGAAGAATGAAAAGGCAGAGGGGAATGAAACAGAGAGAGCCAGAAATTCAGCATAGAGAGGACAGCTGCAGAAAGGATCCTGGGAGCAGAGATGGTCTTCAGTCTGGGGGGTGATGGTGGGGGTTGACCAGTGACTCCCAGGACCATTTGTGGAGTGACACCTGAGGAGAGAGAGACTGGGTTTCCCGGGGCTGTTCCCAGGGCTAGAGCCAGCGAGGTTTGGGAGTAATGGAGGGGGATTCCTGAGGGCAGGAGAAACTGGGCACATCTGACTTAGAGAAAGTTGATCCATTTTTCTAGCTAAGTGCTTGTTAATTGCTTTTTTCTCTCTGTTCAAACACTTTTTAAAAGATTCTGTTTATTGGGGGGGGGGGGCTCCAGCAGGGGTGGAGGGGCAGAGGGAGAAGCAGAGTCCCCACTGAGCAGGGAACCTGACGTGGGGCTCGATCCCAGGACCCTAAGATCATGACCAGAGCCAAAGACAGCTGCTTAACTGACAACCACCTAAACGCCCCTCTTCTCAGACACTATTAAGTGCTGTGTGTGTGTGTTCCTGTGAGAGAGATCATTGTTTCTAATGTAAGTAATTGAAATTTAATATTATGGATAACATGGATCATTACTTCCAGAATTTCACATTTGAAGAAGGTTATTTATGTTTCTTTTTGTGTTGTTTCAATGTCTGCCTTCCGCCTCCTTCCCGGTCCCCCGGCTTCCAGCCCCACTCAGATGTACTGCATCACGTAGGGCCTGCTCTGCTGTGTGGGTAGGTATCGTTCTTGTACCTAGTCAGCACTCTCAGGTGTTTACCCCACCCCCCAGCACCTGATATTTTCATCCAAAACTTTCACCCAAACTTAGGGAATGTTTGTTGAATGAGTGAACTGCCTACGGTTTCCTGCTTCAACAGGTTGTTCCAGAGTGTCTATTTGCTGGTGGTTTTCCTCTGCTTAGAATACCTTTCCCTTCCTCATCTTCCATGTCAGGTATCATCCCTGGAAAGTCTCTCCCGTCCCCTCCCTACCCCCTTAGGGACCCTTTCTTTGTTCCCAAAGCCTATATGTAGCTTTATCCTGCCCTGCTGTTTTATAGAAGAATTAACCTGTTTGTATCTGCCTCTCTTGCCACCTGTGAGCTCCTCCAGGGCTAGTGTCCCATCTCTGTTTTACCAACACCAGGCGCAGCACCAGCCCACTGAACTCTTTTAGCCCTTAGGCAATGTAGGCAAAATAACAAGTATGACAGGCTTTTAAAATGGTTATCAAAGTGTTTGAGGCACATAAACAATGTTGTTGGCTCCAATTTTTTTTAAACCGCAAAATCAAAGCTAAAAATGTTTAACGAAATATCTCCCAACTATTGCTGTCAGTCATTAATTACTAAAGTTCGTCTTCACATGCAGCTTGTTCCGTTCCAAAACATTTTGTAGTTTAGACTGCACTTACAAATCTCATTCTCCCAGCACACATTATGATTTCAGAGAAATGCTTATCATAAATTATCTTAGTTACTCGCAGCACACGGTATTTTCCAAAGCAAAATTAGACATCTTGTCAAAAATGTTTACAGTTCTATGCGAGGCAGATGTGCCTCATGATGTAGGGAAGATGTTAGGGTTCGAAGCCGGCGGCCAAGAAGAATTCTTGAGATGTCTTTGGTGCCAAAAGGTGGTTTTATTAAAGTCGGGGGACAGGATCTGTGGGCCTAAAGAGCTGCAGTGGGGTCATGAGGAGTGGCCCATTATATACTTTCCAGTTGGGAGGGGCTTAGGGAGGATGTTAAGTCTCTGAGGAATTTTGGAAGCAAGTTTTCCAGGACCTTGACAAGGCTAGCAATCATTAGGGAAAGGTCATTTATTACTGTCTAATAAAACCTGAGTCAAGAGATCCTTCAGATTTATATCAGTGGGTCATCTGCGTGGGGGATGATTGCCAACATAAATCTTGGGGGTAGAGATAAAGGAAGTTTCTAAAAGATTTTTTATATGTTAAAGTGGACTTAATAGGATCCTGAGGGTCAGGCTAAGATTGCTTGTTGCCCTTAGCAAAGTACTAACAACCAGGCAGTTGAGTCCCTAGAGGAAGTTCACTCTGCCTGTTTCAGGGACTTGCCACTAGGCTGTAGGTAGTAAGGAAATTTAATAATTTTTCTTCTACTTTTCTTTCCCAGATCACCTGGGACCCTGACCGTTCCTCTTGCAGAGTGGAGAACATGCAGGGACCACTTAGGTTAGGGCTTGTGTCCTTCAGTGTGTCGTGGTCCCCTCCATGACGAATGTCTTTCACTTAACCATCCTTACTTGTTTACTTTGTGGGACCTTGGAAGGCCCTGGTTTTGTTTCTTTGCTGTTTTTTTTTTCTTTTTTAAGATTTTATTTATTCATGAGAGACACACAGAGAGAGGTAGAGACATAGAGGGAAAAGCAGGCTCCTCAAAGGGAGCCAGATGTGGAACTCGATCCCCAAACCCAGGATCATACCCTGAGCTGAAGGCAGACACTCAACCGCTGAGCCACCCAGGCGTCCCAGGCTCTGGGTTTCTGACTCCTTGTCGTAGACTTTTAGAGCTGGAAGAGAGATTTGAGATTATCTGAGCCCATCCCATCCCTCTTTAGGTGAGCAGTGCAGTCCAGCAAGGAAGAGAGAATTGACTTGTTGAACATCATACAAAACTAGTTTAGCAGCAAAGGCAAGATGAGTCTCTGACTCCCACGCAGCCTCACAAAAAGTTGAAATGCAGACACAGGCAAGCCATTGGATCTTTAATGTGTCTCAGAATCTCCTGAGGAACTTGTTAAGTGAGCAGATCCTCCAGCCATCTCCATTCAAAACTGGTGTTCCAAGGTAATGCCGAGAAATTGCATTTTTAGCAAGATTGCAGCATCTGATCACCATGGTCTGTGACCACAGTTTAGAACAGTGATCTCCACAGACACTCCACCAGCATGCAGGAAGAACAACAACTATTTTTTTTTTTTAATCTGAAAAGTAAGGGCAAAATTAACCCTTACTTAATGTGCAGATTGACACAGGCACCCTTCCTTGGGCCATAATTAGGTGGTTGTATCAGAGAAGATTGGGTTTTGCAGGGCAGCCTGGGTGGCTCAGTGGTTTAGCGCCGCCTTCGGCCCAGGTCATGGTCCTGGAGACCCGGGATCAAGTCCCACGTCGGGCTCCCTGCATGGAGTCTGCTTCTCCCTCTGCTTGTGTCTTTACTTCTCTCTTTCTCTCTCTCTCTATATGTGTGTGTGTGTGTGTGTGTGTGTGTGTCCATCTCATGAATAAATAAATGAAATTTTTTTTAAAAAAATTGGGTTTTGCAGCCAAAACAAATGATCCCTAAATGTCATGACTTACAAGTAGAGTCCCCAGGTAAAATTCAGGATGCTGAGTTACATTTGATTTTCGGGTAAACTGAACAAATTTCTAAGGGTACAAATGTCCCAAATATTTAGTGGAAGTGTGTCCTGGGCACAATTTGGGACATCCTTGCACTAGTCCACATGATCTTTACTCTGTGAGCCAGACTGATGAGACCACTCTGAGCATTGCCAGTTGGGGTGGTACAACCAAGATAGGGCTGACCTGTATGTACACCAGTTCCCAAAGCTTCTGGTCAGGAGGGACAAACATTGCTTCCGCTCACTTTTTTTTTTTTTTTTTTTTTTTTTTTTGCCAAAATGACACACATGGCCAAGTGTAACATCAATATGGCAGAGAAGACTACTACCCCCAGAGAGGGGCACTGGGTGTCTGGAGACCATTCTGTAGTCTACCAGAGTATATAAATGCCATCCTCGTGGTTAAGTCTGGTGACAAAACAAGGCCTTTAGGAGATTTTTTTTTAAGATTTTATTTATGAGAGACAGAGAGAGAGAGACAGATGCAGGCAGAGGGAGAAGTAGGCTCAGGGATCCTGATGCGGAACTTGATGCCAGGACTCCAGGATCACACCCTGGGCTTTAGCAGGCACTAAACCACTGAGCCACCCAGGGATCCCTAGGAGAATCTTTAGAACTCTATAATGAGGGGTGACCTTGAAAATCTCATGTACACACACAGTTCACAGATCATCATGTGACAAAGCACTTAAAAGAATTTTCAAACAAAAAATGAGTTAACTATGTTTTATAAAAAGTGTTCCACATTTTCTCATCTTCCGTGGTGACAAGTAGCCATCGTTAGGATGCTCTAGGAGAAAATTTCATAAAAACAGACTTAATCGGTTCCTTTGAGAGAAGGGTAACGGTTTAACAACGAGTGAGAAAGTCTCTTAAAAAAAAAAAAAAACCCTATCTTATGGAGGGAGCATTTTTGAAAATAGATGTTTGCAAATCTTTCCAACATTATGTGATTTTGTTGCTAAAAATGACCCATACTACTTATAAAAAAAAACCCAAAACCTAATTTTTGCACAACTTAAGAGCTGAAATCTCCCACCTTTTAAAAAAATCTTGCAAATGGAGTTTGTTTTAAATATATTGAGGAATTCTAAGGAGGACAGTGGTGCAGATCTGGTTTACTTAGTCAATGTCTAACAAACGAAAGGGAGACAACAGAGCAGTATAGAGACAGCAAACCCGCTGTGCTCCTTAGCCACCCTCCTAAGGCCTTGGAAAAACCTATCCACCTCTTAATTGTTTTCCTCAGTACCACTCGGCCTACTCAGAATGCCCAGACTGATCTCTTTGTCAGCCACCAGCTGATTTGTTTACCCCAAAATTGTGCCCGCAAGATTCGCTCTTCCCAGCTGCCAGCAGGAGCTTTCCTCTCTCCTCTCTTGCACATCCTGTTTATTTTATTTTTATTTTTTTAAATATTTTATTTATTTATTCATAGACACAGAGAGAGAGAGAGAGAGGCAGAGACACAGGGAGAGGGAGAAGCAGGCTCCATGCAGGGAGCCCGATGTGGGACTTGATCCCGGGTCTCCAGAATCACACCCCAGGCTGCAGGCGGCGCCAAACTGCTGCGCCACCAGGGCTGCCCGCACATCCTGTTTTAATTTTGCTCCTTGACAACAGTCTGTTAACCTTTCTTCCTCACTTAGGAGTAAACAAATTGCATGTAAAGCAACGAACTTAATTTATCTCTGAATTATTCCTTGAAACCTTGTAATTGAAAAAAAAAAAAAAAGAAACCTTGTAATTGGTTTGTAAGGAAGTCTGATGGGCTCAAAGAAGATGGAGACGTAACCAAATTTCAGCTACAAGGTTTGGGTTCTGTGTGGATACAATTGAAATGAGCATTTTGACTTGGAAAGCTCTGAGACCAGTGAGTCTTCCTAGCTTATCTTTTGAGCTATTTTAAGTAATGACAGCCCTTAAAACAAGTTTTAAAATAGATCGAACTTGGACACTTCACATTGTTCTATCAAAAAGTTTTCAACCAAGAGCTGCAAAAATAAGCCTGTTAGACATATTACTCTCTTTTAAAGTATATTAGTGGAACAGAACTAGTTTGCAGTCAATAAATAAAAATATCTTATTGTTTTCCACGTTTGTGTTTTTATGTTAATGTATTACTACTATAATTTACAAATATAAATATTTGTATACATACGTTGGGGGCTGCCTGTGCAGAACTTTTTTTTTAACTAATAATAGTGTGTGAAAAGAAAGTTTATAGACCTCTGTTTTTAGAAAGACTATTTTAGACACACCATGGTACCAAAAACCACCTGCCAGCTACTCTTTAAGTGAAGAACAGTTATCAAGCTACTGATCTGTATTTTCCTTTACACTGTAATTTGACAAGGGTAGAAAAATCTTAAAGTATAAGACAATGAAAACCTCGAGGTGTGATAGACCAGCGTAATAGCAAGACCCTCTTGGTTAAAAACTACATGATAATACCTTATTTAATTTAGGTGACAGTTATTTAATTGCTGTTCTGTAGACTAATTCCATTTAAGCAAATTATTTGAAACTCTTTGAAATCCATTTTGATTGCACTTTTGGGAGTTCTTTTTCTAGATACTGGAAGAACAGAAATTCTATTGTAAGCTATTAGCATCGACTTTGAGAATACAAGGCAAGTGGTTGTAGGGGCAGGTTGTCTCTGGTATTACTTTGACAGCAGTTCTTAGTCCTGAGTTTTGTCCTTCGAAGCTGATTATTACCCTAAATGAATTCTAGAAATGGTTTCTTTTTTTTAAAATTTTATTTATTCATGAGATACACAGAGAGAGAGAGAGAGGCAGGGACACAGGCAGATGGAGAAGCAGGCCCCATGCAGGGAGCCCGAGGTGGGACTCGATCCTGGATCTCCAGGACCATGCCCCTGGGCTGAAGGTGGCGCTAAACCGCTGAGCCACCCGGGCTGCCCTAGAAACGGTTTCAAAGTCACTAACCTCTGCTCTTCAGACAGCTCGCTGGTGGATGGAGCCGGAGTGGTTATTCATGCTGTGTATGCACCTTTGGCTAAGAATGAGAGAAGCAAGGAATTCTCAAATGAACCTTCAAATCAGTCCCACAGTCAGGTGCTGCCTGTGGGCCCCCCTCTGCCTTTCTAGTAAGGGCTTGGCCTTTGCAGACCCTAATGAATCATTTAGCCATTAAGCATTTACAAGGAGACTTCCAGTGGAGAGAACAAAAGGAAGGTATCACTTAGTGCCAAAGGATCAGATGTCAAAGCTGCTGACTGGACAGACCTTTTAACTAAACATTTCTAGATTTGTCTTCTCGTGGGCATGGAAAAGATATATTTACTTTCTCAAGCGTCATGCAGTCACAAGGCATCCAGTAATAGAATCCATTGCACACAAATGTTGGGCTGAATGGTAACCATTGGATGAACTACGGGTATTATCCACATATGACAATTTTTTACATATTTATTTACATTTTTTTTCTCTCTAGGAAATGAAGCCAGAATCCACAGATGTCATTATCCATCTGCATACTTTTGTTTACTACCCAGAGGGCAAGGATATTGCATTTTAAAAGAGGACTTTTGTTCTTTCTTATCACAAATGACTTGAGAAGCTCTGACCATTCATGTTTACCCTGAGTGAAAGCCCCAGTCAAAGCCTTGCTTCCTGGAGAGCTTTGAGATTCTGGTACAAAAGGCATTTTATAAGCACAAAGTGGAAAAGCATCATTTATATTCATTTGCTGCTGTGGCATTTCTCTCTGGAATCTTCCTCTTGTCTGTCAACATTGTGCAAAAAAGACTGGCCTCATCTACATTACAAATATCATTCTTTTAATGGTCTGGAAGTGGGAAAGAGCACAAGAGTGGGAGGAGAAGCTTGAGCTCTTCTGTTGGAGGGTCTTGGGCTTGTTTATCCCTAAAATTGGTTGGACATAGTTGGTGTGGATATTATGAACTGTGTACGAAAGACCTGAGTATGAAAGTACTATGGTGCTTGTGCCTCTTGGCTGCAACGAATGTTTATGATCTGCTTGCAGTGACTCACAGGAGAATCACAGCCATAGGGGATGATCCTCAGAGGGGTCGTTTAGAATAGACGAGTCTCTGGGCAGAGGATGGTCTGCATTGGCCTCCGCGGCTACAGGAAGGCTTCCAGAGTGAAGAAATTTCCACCAAGATGTCTCTTAGGACCTGTGGCAAATCCTTCCTCGTAGGGGACTCTACTTGATGTGATGTAAGAAACATCTTTTTGTCCCAGAAGATCTCATGTGTGACTTATCACACATAGAGTTTGCCAACTGGATTGGTTGTGATAGAGCCTGGCTCCAAGGGGCTCCCATTCCCATCTGGGAATGTCCTAGAACATGAGGCATTATCCAAGAGGCAGAGGATGGCGTCACTTGGGCCAAAGGTCCGAACCTGAGGGCCATATAAATGAGTGGAGATTCGGAGAGAGGAGCTTGGAGGGCAGGAGTGCTGCCACAGGGAAGGATGGCACCCAGAGGGAGAAAGACCTGTATCTCAATCCTTTCATACCTGTGTCTGGGGCCTCCTGTGAGTCTGCAACCAGCTGCTGCTGCCTCTCCTCCTTTACCTTCTTCAAATCTTCTCATCACACAATTTTCAAATATATACCTAAGTAGAGAGAATGGTACAACGAACTCCCACGTACCTGTCACCGTCATCCGCCTTGAACAATTATCCACACTCATCCTGTCTGCCTCCTCCCCCAAACCTCCCCTTCCTCAAATTATTATTGAAATTAGTTCATTCTCATCATTTTTAATTTTTAATTTCCCCTGTTGCATTTTTTTGGCCCTTTCTTTAAAAAGATACATTTCTCAAGAGAGCCCTGAGTAGTTCTGACAGAAATGTTGGATTGACCAGACAATGTGTGCTTCATTCATTTCAGACACTTAGTGAGTCTGAGGCACAGCACAGGATTGAAGACAGTAGCAGAATAGGGCTCCTGACCTCAAGAGCCTATCATCTAGTTCTGGGGAGAGGACGAGGGCACTAACAAGTCCTCAGGAGTAACAGGTGAGTGTGAGCCCTGCTATGATAAAGGGGAAGTCCCAGGTTTGGTAGAGCTTCCAAGGTGTGATAATTACACTCAGCTGGAAGGGGTGAGTGTGGAGGGTGGTCAGGAAGGGCTGTGGAGCCTGGGGCGGATAGGGGGATTTGGAAGGGTGGGCGTAGGATGGTGAGGGAAAAACACCTGCCAAAGTGCAGAGGTGGGAGCAGCTCAGGCAAAGGGGAGGGACAAGAGGGTCACCCGTTGACTGTTACACATGGTGCACAGGAACTGGTGGGAGGGATAGGGCATGGAAGGAGGGCAGTTGGTTCTTTATAGGTTAATAACTGGACCATTCTTTTTTCTAAGGAAAAACAAAATTAGATTTCTAGAAGCATGGCTATGAAAAAGAAACTCCAGACCATAATTAGGAAACCAAGAGAAATCAAGGTGGGCTTAATGAAAGTTAGCAGGAATAATAAATGCTGAGGGGAGCTGCCTACAATAAAATGGACTCTCAGTCCACTAGCCAGGGGACACATTTTCTAAACCTAGAAATGAAGCTTGTTTGTAACTCCCCGCTACAGACAATGTAAAATAAGCTGTAGTCCTTTTCCCCTGAGTCCTGAGAAGACGTGGTTTTTGCCTCTGAAACTAAGACGTAGGCAGAAAATTCCTACTGTTGCTTCCATGTGAAGGATAGCAAAGAAGATGATGAGATCCGGTGAAATGTTCATATTCTGTACGTGATACAGAATAGTAACCTGATTTTTCAAAATAAGATTTTCATTACAAATTTAAGCGTTGTTATGGTAGGAAATTCAAACAGGGGGATCCCTGGGTGGCTCAGTGATTTAGCGCCTGCCTTTAGTCCAGGGTGTGAGCCTGGGGTCCTGGGATCGAGTCCCGCATCGGGCTCCTTGTATGGAGCCTGCTTCTCTCTCTGCCTCTCTCTCTCTCTCTGTGTGTCTCTCATGAATAAATAAATCTTAAAGAAAAAAAAAGAAAATTCAAACAATAGTAAGATGCAGAAGGGTGCATTGTCCTATCACCTGAGGAACACAATTTTTAATATTTTAGTGTCGTATAATGATTTTGGGACATGTTTTTAAACTAAATGACTTTAATTGTTTATCTCTGCCTGCCTCCCCCTGGCACAATTCATTGTGCTTATCAAGGAGTTTTGACATTAAATATTTATATCTCTGTTGACTTTAAGAGTCACTCTCCTTTGAACTCAGATTTCAGATGGGATACAGGAGATCATCTTGGTATTAAATGAGAGGTAAAGTTTATTGTTAGATATGCATGCATGAAACCACTTTTTCACCTGTTTTTTTTTTTTTTGAGGGTGGGTGGTTAGTGGGGTCTGGGGGAAACTATAAATGGAGTTCTGCATAGCATATAGCTAAATATCTCAAGTTATATATTAAGCCAACAAATTATTAAATAAAATACATTCTGTCCTCCTTCCTTGACTAATACACCTTTATCATAGCCATGCCTTGGCAACTATTAAAAAAAAAATATATATATATTATTTTGGGGAGGAGGGGCAAAGGGAGAGGGAGAGAGAATCTTTTTTTTTTAAGATTTTATTTATTCATGAGAGACAGAGAGAGAGAGAGAGAGAGAGAGAGGGAGAGACACAGGCAGAGGGAGAAGCAGGCTCCATGCAGGGAGCCTGATGTGGGACTCGATCCTGGGACCCCAGGATCACGCCCTGGGCTGAAGGCAGGCACCAAACCGCTGAGCCACCCAGGGATCCCTGAGAGAGAATCTTAAGCAGGATCCAGGCCCAGCAGAGCCCAACCCTGAGATCGACCTCACAACCCTGAGATCATAACCTGAACCGAAATCCAGAGTTGGATGCTTCACCGACTCAGCTACCCAGGCACCCCTAAAATGCATTCTATCCTCCGACCTTTCCGACAGATGCCCTTGGCCACCTCTTGGGCATAGGGATGGACATACCAGGTCCTTTGGGGGACAGGCTTGGGAAGCAGTGTACATGGGCCCCAGAGCAGGCATGGGGCCATTAGAGCAGGCTCCCTGGAGCTCCAGGGAGCTTCCCTCCCCAGAAGGAGAGGTGTGTAGCCAGAGGAGGGCGAGAGCAGGTGCCTCTCTGGCCCCAATCTGGATGAGGCCTTCCACACTTGCGGTGTACAGGTGGTGTGCTGGGTGCTTGGGACTCAAAGGTGAGTAAAAACAGTCTAGTGAGGTCGTGCAGAAATTGGCAGGTAAGCACCCCCGAAATGCAAACTCGCCACTCTGAATTGACCCAATCAGAAAAGTCAGGGAAGAGGTAACTAGGCCAAAGTGGGGAGAGAAGAGAATTCTAGGCATAGGGAAAAGCATAGGCAAAGTCGGGGTAGCAGTGGGGAGCCCAGGCAAGGCGAGGCATGGGAGGCGGTGGTGAGCTGGGGGCAGAAGACCCAGGAGCTCCAGAGAGGCAGGTATGTCTTGACCAGGAAAGGCCTCCGTGGCCTAATTCAGAATTTTCTCTGTATCCTCAGCAAAAGGCTTTGAGCTCAGCTGACAGAAATTAAACAGCCCCGCTCTCCAATGCAGATGAGAACCTTAAGAATGAAATCACAGCAGCAGTGAACTAAACTGAGAAAAAAACACCTTCCGGCAACCTTGCACATGACATTTGTCACTGCAAACAGGCTTGTCATGCACAAATCACCTGCAACAACAAAGAGGATTATGGATGGGTTGGTGGCCATCACATGGGATCTTTTTGTGCTGAGGAGTTTAAATCAGGTGGTTACTTGCACACCATTTTGTGGGATGTATTTGTAAATATATCCTGCTGGCATATTTTATGCTTCAGTTAATTGAGTTGGCATCTAATTTAGTTGACATCTAAAAATAAAATCAATTTTCAGACAAAATACCCATAAAATAAGTGAAATGCTATAATAGGTTTCAAGAAATTAAAATGTAATATATTTAGGCTTCTATTCTAAAGCAATTTCATGTGGAATAGTGGATACTGTAGATGTATTTTTTATTTCTCCTGAATCTGTCAATTACATGATAATGAATGCTGCTACTATATTTTCAGAAATTTATTGCTTGGAGTAGTTTGTCATGAAGAATGAAATTTTTGTTGGGGTTTCCTTTACAATGTCAAAGAGCTTAAATATGAATACTTTGTATGTCGATGTGCAACTGTAATTAAGCCATGACAATGATTATTACTTTGGGCGTAAACACTATCAAATTTTCATTGGGCGAGTTCTTTTTTAATTAATGTTGAGTTATGTTCTGTTTATTATCCTGTTTGCTTATGTTTCCTGCCATTTTCCAGTTGTCTGCTTGAATCTCCTTTTCTAATAGTGAGTTAGCAACTGATAATGTGTATTGATTTCAGTTTTGCTTCTCATTTACATTTTTATCTCTTTGGTTGATGTATTTGCCTTAATCATTTTATTTTTATAAGCAGTTGTACAGTTTGTTAATTTAGCTAGATGATTAAATTTGGCTTCTAAAGAGAGTTTGTTTTAGAAACTGGTCCCTGAAGTAAATTAGTATTTGGCATTTTCAACATATCAAAGGGACTGGTCTCCTAAAGATAGCTAAGAACGTCACTCTAAATTCTTAAAAGTGGATTCCTAGTTTTGAAACCTTGGACTATATAGAGCCATATATTCCAGTAGGTGGTGCAAATCGACTCCATTTCAAATGTAAATGTAATTTAAAATTGTGATGTAACTATTTGTCCTATAAAAATAATATTTCAACATGTTTTCTCAACTGCAAAATTATTTTCCTCTATTTCTAAAGGAAGCTTGATTTACTCTCCCAGGCTCATTTTTCTTATATTTTATTCCCCCGGTACGATTATAATGATCACTGTCACAAGAGAGGTGAGTGGGGAAACGAGGGGGGACAAAAACTGGGGAGACCTGTTAAAAATTATGAATACAAAGGAAAGTCATTTGCTTCTGTGTTCAGTTTTACTAGAAGAGGAACATAGCGTCCACATCAGCGACCTTCTTAGTTTTTACGTCCACATGATGAGGACACCATCATCACACCATGTCTTGTTTTTTTTTTTTATAAAAATTAGGGATATTTTACTCCTAGGAGTCTGATATTCACATGCCAGCACATAAAGTATGTAGAGAAGGAAATTCATTGCAGCATCTTTTGAAAATTAGTTTTCATTTTGATCACTGTAACGCACATGCACAAGAGGCCGTGCAGTAGGCTGAGAGCAGGGACTCTGGAGGCACCTGCCCCTTGGTGATAGGATTAAAGAACATATATGTAAAGTATCTAAAGCAAACCTGGCACATAGTAAGCACTGTATGAATTTTTTAAAAAGATTTTATTTATTTATTTGAGAGAGAGAGATAGCGACAGGGAGCATGAGCTGGGGAGGAGAGGGAGCAGGCTCCCCACTGAGCAGAGAGCCCCAGGACCCTGGGATATGGCCCGAGCACTAATGTTAACACTATTGTTTGAAAAGTAAAACAGGGTCGCCCGGGTGGCTCAGTGGTTGAGTGTCTGTCTTCAGCTCAGGGTGTGATCCCAGGGTCCTGGGATTGAGTCCCTGTTGGGCTCCCTGCATGGAGCCTGCTTCTCCCTCTGCCTGTGTCTCTGCCTCTCTCTCTGTGTGTCTCTTATGAACAAACAAATAAAATCTTTAAAAAAAAGTAAAACAGTGCAACAAGGATTTTAATGACCAGCAGCTGTCTCTTGCCTTCCCCCTCCCGTCATCCCGCATCACCTCCTCCTGGCAAGCACTCACCACTCAGCTGTTTGTCCAGCTAGTTACTACCATAATGTTGAATATTATTTTTAAACAACTCTTTCTCTTTAATCATTGTTTTTAGTGGCATTAAGCACACCCACCATGTTGTGCAACCATCACCACCATCCATTTCCAGATGTTTACCTTTCCAAAAGCAATTCTGTACCTGTTAAACCGTAACTCTCCACTCCACCTCTCTCCTCCCAGCCCCTGGTAACCCTGACTCTCTTTGTTGCATCTATGACTTTGTCTACTCTAGGTATGTCCTACAAGTGGGATCACAATATCTGTCCTTTTGTGACTGGCTATGTCACTTAGCATCATGTCTTCAAGATTCTCCCATGGAGGGGCAGCCCCGGTGGCTCAGCGGTTTAGCGCTGCCTTCAGTTCAGGGTGTGATCTTGGAGACCCGGGATCGAGTCCCACGTCAGGCTCCCTGCATGGAGCCTGCTTCTCCCTCTGCCTGTGTCTCTGCCTCTCTCTCCCTCTGTGTCTCTCATGAATGAATGAATGAATGAATGAATGAATGAATGAATAAATAAATAAATAAAATTAAAAAAAAAAAGATTCTCCCATGGAGCCGGTGTCAGGATGTCCTTCTATTTTAAAGGCTGAGTAATATTCCACTGGGTGTATAATGCCACATGTTGCTTATTCATTTATTTGTTTGTGGACATTTGGGTTGTTTCCACCTTTTGGCTACTGTGAGTCATGTTGCTATGACCACCAATGTACAAATATCAGTCTGAGCCTCTGTGTTCAATTGTTTTGGGCAGCTGTTTCTTGATTTATCCATTTTTGATCCTACCTTTTGATTTCCAGACATGGTAAGTCAGACAGGTAAGGACATAATTATAACCCAACTCCCTACCTTTCCATATACACACACTCCCCATCACCACTCCCACATAGTTTTTGCTTTCTTTTGTTTTCTTTCATTTCTTTGTTTTTAAAGTGGAATCTAATGCGGGTTTGAACTCAGGATCGCAAGGTCAAGATCTGAGCTGAAATCAAGAGTTCGATGCCACTTAGGTACCATCCTCCATCCCCACCCACCGTTTTGAACAAATTAAAAAAAAAGTTTCCTTGATTATAATGTTACAATATTGTTAACTGCTGAGGCAGACATGCCCTAGTAGTTCCTCTCTTTTCTAGAATACTTGTCACTTTTTCTGAAATTAACAACAGCATCAATTTTACGTTTGCCACGTTCCTTTGTGTCATCATTACATTTTCCCTGATGCTCTGATCCACATTTACCAATGACAAGTCCCGTGTGGGCATGCCTGGGAGACTTTTGTTTTGTTTGATCTTCTCTGTCTTTGTCTTTTTCCAGAAGCGTGGTGCCTTCCTGTTCCAGCCTGCACCAAGTGTTTTCTTGTACTCCTGTCTCCTGTGGCTTCCTTTTCCCACCATCCTGAGCCGCTTTTTCTTTCTGGTGCTCTCCCACATCCCATCTTTGTTGTTTGAAGCACATCTTTTGCTAGTTTCCCGAGTAAAGGTACATGGGAGATAAAAACTTTGACTTCTTTCATATGTTAAAAGTATTTTTTTTTTCTGCCCTCACTATTTTGGTAGATCATTTGGCTGGGAATAGAAATCTGGATTGAAAATCACTTTTACTTAATATCCTATAAAGTAACTTTGTTGTTGGTTTTCGCTTTTAGTGTTGCTGTTGGGGGATCTTATTCTGCTAGGATTCTTTCTATTGTTGTGCAATATTGAAAAATCTCAAACCTACCATAAACACTAAAGAATGGAACAGTGAATATCTGAATACACCACACCTAGTCTCGTAATTGTTAACATTTGGCCACACTGGCTCCATCTGATTTCTTCTCCCCACCCCTACCCCAACTATTTCTCTATGTATATATGTATGTAACTGTCCACCTATCTATCTCTGCATACATTCACACACTTCTGTATCTGTATGTGTATGATTCCTTTGTTGGCTCTTTGAAAGGCACAGCTATTCTAAATACTTCAGTGTGGCTTATAGGAACAAGGATACTTGCCTATATTTTTGCATAATACTATTATCAGAGTAAGATATTTAACACTGACATAATAAAGAGTCCATATTTGAATTTCCCCAACACTGTCGACTCATCTTTTATAGCCGCCTTTTTTCTTTCTCTGATCCAGGACAGAGTTGAGGCTCCCACATCGCATTTATTTCATTGTCGTGGACACAGCCTGTCTCTGCCTGTGTCCTGAGACCAGTCAGTGGTTGGCTTGCAACCGTGAAAAGCTGCATCTCTGTGCCTGAAATTTTTCCATGGAGCTGCAGATTATTAAATGCTCACTGAACTGCCCAATTTTAGTCTTGTGATCCCCTTACCTCCATGCCTCATCTCCTCCCCTGTGGAGACTTCAGGTTCATTTTCTCCAGAGAAGAAGCCCCTGATTTTCTACTGGTCATCACCAGTAGAAGTGTCAGAGTAGAGATGGGGAAAGTTATTGCTTGGCTATCTAGGGTGGGAGAGGGGCGAGGGTTTAGCCTTCTGGCTATAGATTTTCAACCAACATTTTCAGCCCCTGCCTTGCCTTGCCCCCACCTTCCCCAGTACCTGTTTCCAGGTCTTGGAGGCCCAGGCTCTTCATGTCACCCGACTAACTTTCTATCAGCACCTGGGTCATCTCTGCTGCTCTTTGCTGCAGCAGCTACTGTTTTCCCACCTGCTTTTTTATATTCCCCAAGTTTGCTGAGATCTTTCTTTTGTTACTGTCTCTTCTTTATTTCTTTTTGTTCTTGTTCTTCTGGGTCTACACCTTTGAAAAGTTCCTTCATTGGAGGGTTTCCAGAAGAAGACGAAATAGAAGCATGTAGTAAATTTGCCATGTTGATTAAAAAAAATTTAATAGCATTTTTTTCCTTTTTTTTTAATAAATTAATTTTTATTGGTGTTCAATTTACCAACATACAGAATAACACCCAGTGCTCATCCCGTCAAGTGTCCCCCTCCGTGCCCGTCACCCATTCACCCCCACCCCCCGCCCTCCTCCCCTTCTACCACCCCTAGTTCATTTCCCAGAGTTAGAAGTCTTTATGTTCTGTCTCCCTTTCTGATATCTCCCACACATTTCTTCTCCCTTCCCTTATATTCCCCTTCACTATTATTCATATTCCCCAAATGAATGAGAACATACACTGTTTGTCCTTCTCCAATTGACTTACTTCACTCAGCATAATACCCTCCAGTTCCATCCACGTTGAAGCAAATGGTGGGTATTTGTCATTTCTAATGGCTGAGTAATATTCCATTGTATACATAAACCACATCTTCTTTATCCATTCATCTTTCGATGGGCACCGAGGCTCCTTCCACAGTTTGGCTATTGTGGACATGGCTGCTAGAAACATCGGGGTGCAGGTGTCCCGGCGTTTCATTGCATCTGAATCTTTGGGGTAAATCCCTAACAGTGCAATTGCTGGGTCGTAGGGCAGGTCTATTTTTAATTCTTTGAGGAACCTCCACACAGTTTTCCAGAGTGGCTGCACCAGTTCACATTCCCACCAACAGTGTAAGAGGGTTCCCTTTTCTCCGCATCCTCTCCAACATTTGTTGTTTCCTGCCTTGTTAATTTTTCCCATTCTCACTGGTGTGAGGTGGTATCTCATTGTGGTTTTGATTTGTATTTCCCTGATGGCAAGTGATGCGGAGCATTTTCTCATGTGCATGTTGGCCATGTCTATGTCTTCCTCTGTGAGATTTCTCTTCATGTCTTTTGCCCATTTCATGATTGGATTGTTTGTTTCTTTGCTGTTGAGTTTAATAAGTTCTTTATAGGGATCCCTGGGTGGCGCAGCGGTTTAGCGCCTGCCTTTGGCCCAGGGCGCGATCCTGGAGACCCGGGATCGAATCCCACATCGGGCTCCCGGTGCATGGAGCCTGCTTCTCCCTCTGCCTGTGTCTCTGCCTCTCTCTCTCTCTCTGTGACTATCATAAATAAATAAA